CTACCTACCTACCTATCTACCTACCTACCCAACTACCTACCTACCTACCTACAAAAATGGAGTGGGGACGTGTCGCAGCGACATGTATCAGAGACGTAATTGAAACGTCCACTCAAGGTGGGACTGTCCCAACAAAAGGTAGCATCAACCAAAACACAACATTTAAACACTCAGCTGCTACATGTCTCCGCTACATCTCCCTGCTACAATTCCACTCGTGTGTACAGATCCTGATTTTCTTGCTGATACCTTTTTCTGGGACTTTCATATCAATGATGATAAGCAATTATTCGACAAGGTTGAGCAAAACATCGTGATTTGTTAGTGCCGATTGAGCAATTATTGCAGATGCCTAAGGTAGAGGCTTAAAATTGCTTTGGATGTTATGACAAATCACGATATTTTGTGATAATGCAAAGTAGTTTTCTGACAACTCAGAGAAGCAAGAAATCATTGAATACTTGAGTTTATTTTTTGTTTCTTTTACAACAGGAGTCTGCAAAATATTTGAAGAGCATCTGAAGCGAAATAACCCAAGTACCCCATCCATTACTTACGATATTAGCCAACTGTTTGATTTCATCGACGAATTGACTGATCTTAGCTGTTTAGTGTGTACTTCAGACAAAATGTATGCACCTCATAACAAAGAGTGGATTAAACAGCAAATTTATATCATGCTCCGTAAACAGGCTGGCAAATGAGCGTTAAAACTTACCTGTTGTATCAGCAGCTGCAGGATATTTTCCCCTAGTTTCTGATTATAATACTTCACATTCGCAGTTGATTTCATTTATTTTTCATATAATTGGAAGCTGTAAGTTCTTTGAAGTATGCATGCAATAAAATAATCGACTAGTTTTTCTGTTTGTAAGATTGAATGGTGACAGAGTTACAGGAACAAAGCCTCCATAATTGAGTAAGCCTGGCCCAAATAATGAAATTTCCATAACTGAATGTGTACTGTATATTTTTAGATTTTTTCACACTTCAAGCAATAGCATAAATACGCGAACGCAAAAAAATTCATTGTGAAAAACTGGACCTTTAAGGGTTTTAAGGGAAAGATGAATTCTGGAATGAGCATGTTTTTACTGAAATCGGAATTATTGTTAATATAACTTTAAACTGCTGTTAAGTGTTGGTGCGTTAACTTTGCTTTATTAACGATTTTCTCCATTCTTTGACCTATGAGTTTCTAAATCGCGCTTGAGATCTTGGAGGATGAGTACTCTGCTCAAGGTTCAGAAAATCTGTGAGCATTTTCCATTTTCTAACTTTATCTAAAGCTGCTTTGGAGAAATGGACCCTGAAGCCTAACGCTGATAAAAAGAATGAGAATTTGTACTAGAGTACTCTAATTCTACACTGCAGCTCACTGAGGTGTTCAAAACTCACAGGAAATGTTTGTTACATTTTGTAAAACTGCAAAGTTTGAAAGACGTCCGCTCAAAACTTTTGAAGTCATTAATTTTCAAAAATCTTTCCAGCTGCTCTTTACAGCTTTATTTTTCCCCTGTTTTGCTAATTTGAAAATATCTGATAACAGCTTATCGTATATATGTTTTTCAAACATTTTATAAGCTTTCGTTTATCATACAATATATACGGTATTTGGTGGCTATTCTTGCTTTCCTAAGTTCTAAAAAATACAATATTTCGCAGTTTCTTTGTGTTCTTTGTTGCTGTTTTGTTCCACGAGCATGATTCTTAGCATTAAAACAAAAGATTTTTTTATGTGGCGTTATAGGGCAATTGGTGAGCTATACAATCGGCTGCTTCGAAACTTTTGAGACATACGRAAATATTGGCCACTCAGACGAGACATTCGCCCCAGGCTTGCGCATTTTGGACATGAATAATATAGCGTATGCGTGGAGGAGCCAGCTTTCAAAATGGCGGGTAAGCGTAAGCGTCCCGAGAAAGGGTTGTTTAAAACTTTAGAAGACGGCTTAGTTGGTATACAAGGGAAAAGATTCAAAC